ACACACTCACATTCACACACACACTCTTCCTCCTCCTCCTTAAGGTAAAGCTTTCCTGAGGCGTTGCTGCCACCCAGTGGAGTCTTTTTGCTGTTACACTTAGAGAGCTGGCACATAGAAACCTGGTTCTGGTCTCTCTGTACAGTCGATTTAAACAATATCTGAGCTCCTGGCTGCTGCGTTCGGGTCTAATTTAAAGCCAGATAAACCACTAATTTATTTCTTTGAGTAGAAAACCTTTCAGTCCCAGTCGGATCTTCATCAGTTTGTTTAAATATGGATACCCCACCAGGATGATAAACATCTCCAAACTAGTGCTGATCAAATCTTTGTATCCTGGTGTTTTTGTGAGATTCTGGCTGTTTATTTACACAGGAAGTCCCCTGAGATTGAAATCTCTTCCCCGATGGAGACAGCACACCAGTTACAGTTCAAATAGAAATAAAAACACAATTCACAGGGCCTTTATAAAGGTTTATAGCAGCTTATTGTCCTGTCAGGACATCGAATATAGAGTTTAATGTTATTGTGTATTGTTTAAACACAATAAACGGACATAAAATCCTCTGTTAAAATACATGTGGGAAACACAGTTCATCCTGCAGTTAAACAGCAGAGGGCGCCAGAGTACCACCCACAGTCCCTGTGTTCTCCCTTAAACATGAGCTCTTGTTCTCCCTTTTCCATTTGTCACCTTTTAAACCAGGACCCTGAACGCAACACAGCATTTATAATGAAAAGTCTCTAAAAAACGCCAGAAACGGAAGATTTATTCAAGGTCAAAGCCCAGAATGCATTGGGTTTTGCAGCCTTTTATCTGCTCTGTTGAATAAGGTTGTTTTCTGTCATTTCATTTCCTTCTTTTGTGGCCGTTTTTCCTCTCAGACGCCATCAGCTCCGCCAACCCGAGAGTGATCGACGACAGCCGAGCCAGGAAACTCTCCAACGACCTCAAACGCTGCACCTACTACGAGACCTGCGCCACCTACGGCCTCAACGTGGAGCGAGTCTTCCAGGACGGTAAGAGCTCTTATTGTGGTCAGGACAGCGGAGTCCAGTCCTCTGGGAAGGTGACTTTCCTCCCCCCCACCCCCGACAGCCCCGGCCAGAGCCATTCGGACGCTCTTAATCACACGTCAATTAAGAATGAAATGGACCCGCTCAGCTATTTAGCTCAAACCGAACAGCAATTAAGTTTTATCATAGCGAGGGCGAAGGGAGGCAGGGGCCTGCAAAGAGAGACGATTCCCCGACGGGATTAATAAAAGAATCAGACATTATAGGAGGAGGAGGAGGAGGAGGAGGGTGTCCGGAGTCGTCAAGGTCCTGACTGACCCGGACATTCAGGTCTTTTGAGGCGGTCACAGATCTGCTGTGTGATGTCTGACCTTTGAGTTTTCTGGATCAGAACTAATTCAACCTCCTGGTTACAGACTGGATTTCATTTCCAGTCCTCTCCAAAGACTTTAAACCCCGCCCATCAGGTCGAGCTTTAACGTAGCAGAGCGTCTTCAGCACAGCGGTCTGACGAGGTTGAACTAACGCTAGTGTCCTGAAAACCTAAAACCTAAACCGTGGGACTCGCTGCCTCTGGATGTTCAAATGAAGAGCTCCCTCAGTATTTCAAATACTCTTTTTAATCTGGTTTGTAATTTGGAGCCTCTGTTTTCTGGTTTTTACTGTCAATTGTTATCTTTTCTTTTTTTATTGTATTTATTTGTCTCCTGTATCCTGTTTGGCTGAAATCTCTTGTCAAGGCTAAAACAAACGCTGCCTGTGTCGGATATGAAAGCTCCGAGTGAAGATCAGTGTGTTAATGAGAGTGCCACAGTCTCAGTACTTCAGAGAAGGTTAAAGGTCAAAGTCTGGTCCTGTATCTGGAGCACTGCACCTGATCCAGAAGTCTGAGAGGAGAAAAGTTGCGAATAGTAAACCCTGCGGCTGGTGTTTTACATTCTGAGAGCACATTAATAAGAGGAGAGGCAGTTAATGAAGCGGCGGGCGCAGGGTTAACGGCTGTAATTAGAGAGAAATGGATGACAACGGAGTCTGTGGTTAATTAGCAGAGCGGCTGCGGAGCCTGCCGGCCTCTGGCTTCGTCTGCATCCACCTGAAACCTCCGTCTGCGCTCACAGGTTTTTGTTTTCACTCACTTTTCAGCTTTAATGGCAGAAAGACAGCTCGGAAGAGGAAGAGCCGTCAAATGTGGGGTTTTATTTTTGGGCTAAAAGTGGAAACCAGGCAGTTTAAACTGGTAGAAACCAACAGTGGAAAGGCTTTTAGGTCAGTGAAGGGCTCTGGTTCTGCAGTAGATGGATGTAGTAAAGGATCAGACACACACACACACACACACACACACACACACACAGTTACTCCTGTTACATTTGAGTCTGAACTGAAGAGAAATAGAAATATGATCGAAGGAGGAAAGAAGCCTGCAGAGCTCTCCGGTGTCGTTGCTGTGTTTGTCCTGAAGGGGGCAGCGCAGGAACACAGACCTCAGAGGTCTTCTGCAGTTCGTCCATCAGCTTCTGTCCAACGCCTCGAAATAAAGTTCAGATGATCTGAAATACCTGGTGTGGTGCATGTTGTGTGTGTGTTGTTGGGTGTGTGTGTGTTAGCGCAATCCGGCCAGGAGGAGCTTTCCACTAAACCGCTGCCTTATTATCTTCTAATTATTCACCGTGGTGTTTGTTAGACTGTTTCGTGTGGGTGTGTAGTTTTGTCTCTGCACTGTCTCTTGTATTTTCCGTCATTATCTCATTAATAGTTTTAATCACCCAGCAGAAGATGAGTTTAATGTTTTCTGTCGACCTGAAACAGAAGCACCTGTTGTGTGTGGTGTGTGTGTTTGTGTGGGTCTGTGTGTGTGTATGTATTACATCGATGTGTGTGTTTTGTTTTGGTTTTCATTTGTTGTATTATTTCTATTTTAGACGTGTTGTAAAAGATTTGTGTTACCGACAGTGCTTCTTGTGGTGTGGTGTGTGTGTGGTCTTGTGTTGTCTATAACTTAGTAGTGTGTGTGTGTGTGTGTGTGTTGTGTGTTGTTGTCTATAAGTATTATTTGTGTGTTGGTGTGGTGTTGTATGAAGCAGTTTCTGTGCTGTTTTAATTTTTCTATTTCAATGTTGACTTTTGGGGTGTGTCGTTACTGAACTAAAAAACACAACACACACAACACACACACACCAACCACCACACACAACAAATCCTCTTTAATACTCTTGCGTGACCTAATTTTGCAGCGAGGACTCGTAATGCCCCTCGGCCTTCGCTTCACCCATTAAAAAACTCGCTTCCTTATTGGTCAGAACAGCCACACACACACACCACCACAACACCCACTGTGTTTCAGAAGTTGCGTCGATAGTAACATCTGAACTCACTGACGGCCCTTCATCTTTTTATTTTGAAGTACGAAGAATTAAATACACAGTATATGTTATGTAGGTCAGTTATGTTAACTTTTCTGTTGAACTTGCTCTTTAAACCACAGTAATGATTCTTTCACACAATTTGTCATTTTAAGGTTTTAGACCAAAATATCTTTTATAAAAAGTGATTTTTTAGCCAAAACTAAATAAACTGATGCATCAGGTTGATTTTCCACAAGAATTACAACTGCAGTGGCATGAAGCTTTATAGATTATTTGTAACATCCTGCACCTCGCTGGAGTCTTATTGATATGTATTATTTAGAATTGATTGTGTTTCAAGTTCGGCTGTTGTTCAGATCTTCTCTCCTCTCGAATTGGACCAATTTAACGCCGTCGCAAGCGGTGGCTGTGTGTTTTGTCGACGGGGATAAAGCACAATTTAGAGGGACCGGTGTTTGTATTGATCTCGGAACGCACATACTCCTGACCTTCGCTTCACCAGATCTGCATCGACGCGGCAAGAGGGGGGGGGGGGGGGCTGTAATTACAGTGCTCATATTTCAGCTTCTAATCGCTGGATCGTCACCGCGCAAGCAAGGTCCTTGAGAAACGCTGATCGCACTAATTGCATATTGGTGGTCTGTGGCGAGCATCGTAAACCTAATAAAGGTTTTGATGAGTTACAGCGGCTGCACGGTGAGAGAGAAGTTGCACGAGTGACCACAACATTTAGCGTTAAAAATAATTGGCCTGCTCGTCGTCCTGACAACTCCTGTGTTCAGGAAGGGGGAGAGAGAAGGGGTGAGGAGGAGGAGGAGGAGTTGTCTCTCCCTGTGCAGACTGATGATGTGTGTTTGTCGCAGCTTTAAAACCAGACAGACCTGAAATTAACGTTTAAATTCATCATCGATCAATGTGATGATCACTTTCTACATTCATTAATTGATCGTTTTCTCTCAGTAGTATCAGAAATGGTCAAAATGGGCACTTGTGTCACTCAAAAACCCCCAAAATTCATTTCAAAGTGAAATGATATCTCATAAAAATCTTTAGTTTCAGGGTTTAATTTCTTTCTTTCACTCTCGGACAGATTGGGCCTAAACAATCTGATTCAAACGATATTTGTTTGTTTTTTACGGACCAAAAAGATCCCTCGTGGCTTAAAAACTTCAGTTTTCAGAGGTTAATGTCATTTAACTAATCGTTTGGTCTTTATAGTGTCAGAAAATAGTCCAAGTGTCTGAAAGTACAAATGTACAGTTTCAAACAGCATGTTTTATTTGTCAAAAATCAGTTTTATCGCATAAAAGATTAACAATAAAACTCCCTCTGTGGCTTTAAAACGTCTCAGTTTTCAGAGGTTAATGTAATAAACGTCTGAAATTAACAATTTCGTTCATTATTGATCGATATGAAAGAAATAAACTCCTTTTTATTAGTAGTTTTTAGTATTTTTTAAGCTAAAATAACCTGTTTTTATCCTGTTGAATATGAATATTGTTTAGTTTTCTTCTTCTTCTATGAGAGAAAACAGATTTTTGGGGGATTTTGACAAAGAAACCTGATTAATATTCATATTTAACAAACCATAAACAGATTATTTTAGCTTAAAAAATACTTTCAAACATCATCAGAAGAGCTCTGGTGTAACGTAATTTAGTTTGAGAACTTGCTTGTCTCTATAACGTTATAATATTTATTAAAAATATTCCCAATGAAATAGTTAAAATGTCAGTTTATGGTGAAGATAATAATTCTGGAGGTTTTTAAAAAAAACGACTTTGTGGAGTCAAAACTACGAATAAATACGAGAACCTTGTGAGATAATCAGTGTTTTTATCTCTTATTGTTTCAGTGGTTTTCTTTGTTTAAGGCTGTGTGTGTGTGTGTGAGAACATGTAGTTTGCTGTAATGGGAAGTGAAGCCTGGTCCAGTCGGAGGGGGGAGTGACCTCTGTGTGAGGGATGGAGGGAGGGTGACAGCGCTGTGCTCCCTCGTCCATCAGCGCGCTAATTTAATTAGCCTAATTACACCGACATGAACCCCCCCAACACACACATACACACACACTTTTATTTTTTCTAATCCGTGTCAGAGTGCAGATGCGGGGCGCTTCGTTAGCGCACACTAATGAGCTGAGATGACCACACGCGCTCTTACACAATCACTCATGAACGTCCAGACGCTCACAACTGCATCCAGTGTGTAAATATTCACACACACACATTCAGTCACTGTCACACACTAATAAACTAATCAGATCCATCGTATCTGTGCATCGAGTTAATGACGTTTAATCTATTTAGAGGATCTGTAATCATCAATAGGTAAATGATGCTGTTATTTATTGATCATTGACAATAAAAACACATAGTTACTGTTTGTTGTGGTATTGCTGGCAGCCATCCTGACTGACCTGACCAATCACAGGCCGTGTTAAACGTACAATATCTGGGGGGGCTAACGTTAGCTCAGCTTGTTCCTCTGATAGGTCACCAGGTTATGATCTCATGTTAATGGACTGAGGCTTAAAGCTAACAGGTCAGATCAGGCCACAATAAACTTGCGTAATCAGTTATTTTGTAAAACTATTTAAACTGTCATGTGACTTGTACAAATTCCAATAGTCCGTAAACATGTACTGACTTTATACGGAGGATCGGTTTGTGGGTTTATTGGATCTGGTGACATTTGAACGATGTAGCGATGAGCTTTAAGTTCTATATTTGGTGTTCCTTCTTGTACAGCTCCTTCTTTTATTGATCCAGATGTTTCAGGTATCCACCATCTAATAGTGGAACATTTATGGCGTCCAACACATCCTTGAAGTGACTTCACCAGAGTTGTTTTCACTTTGTGGATTTGTGAGAAGACGCAGACCAAAGGAGGAGTGAGAACCTGGAGAATCATCCGCTGTATGTGATATATCTGAGGCCTGTATCTGCAGCGGTCTTCAGCTCCAGCGTTTGTCTTTAAAGTGAAACACTGCAGAGTCAGCCTCTCCCCCCCCTTCCTCCCTTTATGTCTCACCCGCTGGTGCAGCCCCGTCATAAATCTGATCAAAGGGGAGACGTTTCCATTAGAAGAAATGGCAGCTTCTCAGAGCAGAACCGAGATTGATGGATAAAGTTAAATTGCATTAACCGTGCAGTTTAAATATTTAGCACGGCCTTATCATAACTGTTCTTAACACTTAAAGTAAAATACAGCCTGCCAGGTACGCTCGCTCCCATTGGTCCGTCCACTTTCTGCCTGTAGCATCTCGTCTGTGGGGATGCTAACGTCTGTCTCAGCAGCCTTCGTAAATAATTACACTAAAAAAGCCCCCGTGCGGGTCAGAACCAGAGCTCGTGGAGATAAAATGTTGTATCTGATGGTGTGTTTGAGGAGTCAGGAGAGAGTTAAGACTTTAGTGACTCCATTATCTCTGTTCCAATAAACACAGGCCCCCGTTTCATGCGCTCACAGATGAAGCCATTGTTTTAATTGGGCTCGTTAAAGCCCCCGGCTTCGTTAATGAGGAGCCAGTCGTAAACATTTAGCTCCAGGTGACGCGGGGGCCGAGCCAAGGGCAGCCACAAGAGAGGAGAAGAAACTCAGATGGTTTAAAAAAAACCTTCAAATGAAGTATTTAGAACAAAATTAATGAATTTGTAATTAGTTCATTTGATTAAACCTCGACTACCTGGACATAGTTTAGTGTTTCCAACTGTATTTGTGTTTGATACTATCACTTTAATAAAGTACATGTATTTACACAAGGAACTAGAATTTCATTGATCTACTTATTAAACTTAGTTCCCTCTGTAGCTCTTTTTTAAACAGTTGAGCTGAACGCTAACGTCAGCATGCTGTATGCTGTATACCAGTCGTTTTTGGTCTCAAGGACCCAAGAAGGCCTTCTTAATTTTAAATAATATACACAGTAGGTCTATATTTCAGCATTTGGTTAATTTCTGTGTAAAGAAATTTAAATAAATTGTCTAATAGAACAAATAGCACTGAATTTGTCAAAAAAGAAGCCAAAAAGTCTTGAATGTGTGGTCTTGAATTTTATTTTGAAATCTTTGTGTGTTACAGTCGCCCAGAAGATCGTAGCCACCAGGAAGAAGCAGCAGCTGTCCATCGGGCCGTGCAAGTCACTCCCAAACTCACCGAGTCACTCGTCTGTCTGCGCCACGCAAGTGTCGGCCGTCCACATCAGCCAGGTCAGAGGTCACATGGTCACAGTCATACAGAAAATAAGATTCAACAGCATTTTATTAAATTTACTAACAGATGTTTGGCCATTTTTTAACTCACACACACTTTTTAAGCCCATATGTCAGTTTGAATAATGAGGAAATTAAGAATATTCAGATTTGCACAATATGTTCAGGTCATGTTTGACTCTGACATTCATAGATACATTTGACGGTGCTTCATGTCTTGTTTTTGTCTTTATTGTTAATTGATATTTAATATTTGATCACAGTTCAGTCTTAATGAAATCATTCAAACAGAATTTAACTGTAATAATAATGTAAAGTGTAGAGTGTACTGTACTTTTAATTATTTATCCTGCTTATTAATTGAGACACAGTAGACACAAGACTGTAAACACAGTCTGACATAAAAATGTTTTCTGGCCTTAATTTCCGATTTCTGTAAAAACTGCAAAACCTGTAGACCGACATCAATGTAAAGTTTCTGTTATAGACCTAAATTTAGTCAATTTTAATCACCTTTTAGGCGTCAATCTTTAATTTAACTTGCACTGGAGATGCAGTGAAGAGTTTAAGGTCCATTTAGTGGCTGCTCTGGAGATTTCTGTCTCCAGTTGTCTCATCCAATGTAGACAGAAAATGAAAACATGAACTACAGGTAGAACATGAAGAAGAACATGTGATATGATCAAAAGCTCCAGAACAGCTACTAAATGGACCTCGTAGTGTTTTTGAAATTCCAAGGTTAAGAATGAACTTTGAAATAACATTTTGAATGTAGTTTGATGAATGTATCTTAACTGAAGGTCCGTGTACGGCTCTTTCTGGAGCTTTCAGCTGAATCTCATGGCCTTCATCAAATGAGCAAACTCCGTCTGTCTCTGGAAAAAGCTTAAAAAATGGACCATTAGTTAAGTTTTACTTTGTCAAAATGCACGAACACAACCTCATCCACACTGTTACTGGAGCTTCAGGCCGTTCAGCTCTTCGATCCCCATCCCTCAATCCTCTATCGATTTCTCATTAAAAAGCCATCGCTCAGCGTGTCTGAGCAGCACCGACGCGTCCCCCGAGAGCCGTGTTTATCTTCCCGCCGCCTCCACGAAAAACGGCCCTCGGTGCATCTTTAGCTCTCACTGATTACTGTCGAGTGTTCAGAAGACGCCCATTACACTGATGAGACACCATTAGGAAACCTTTTTTTTTTTTCCCTTCCTGATGCATGAGATTTATCCCAGAACGATGCAGATTTCTAAATCACACATTCACAAATAAACAACCTTGTGATCTCAAATTTCAGGTTGCTGAGGGAGGAAAATCCTGCAGCTGAGTGATAAAAATGTTCCTTTTTTCTCCTTCCAGACGAGTAACGGCGGCGGCAGTTTAAGCGACTACTCGTCGTCGGTGCCATCCACGCCCAGCACCAGCCAGAAGGAGCTCCGCATCGACGTGCCGCAGACCACCAACACCCCGACCCCCGTGCGGAAGCAGTCCAAACGCCGCTCCAACCTCTTCACCGTGAGTCCTTTTCTTTTTTGTGAAGGTGCTGACAATAAATCTTAATGGATTTCAGTTTGAAATTTGACCATTTTAGTTGCAGTAAAAGTGGAAAATACTCAGACTGAGAATATCATCGTTAAATAATAATTATTCTTCTAAGAATAATTATTTATTATAATCTGGTCTTATTTTTATTTTCTCATGTGACCAAACATTAAAAACTAGACCCAAGTTACAATAAAACAGCTCTCAGTTATTAGATAAACTTCCTGAAGACAGTCAACGTTATGATTACAGACTTCATCACAAACATGCATACATGTGTGGAATTTAATGAAAATCAGTGCAGATTTATTGATCCAATAAAACCACAATCAAACAAGCTGTGTTGTGTGGAGGACGGACATCATACAGCAATTTGTATTAAAAAAAGCCTGTAGTGAATGTTTTATTAAAGATCTTAACACTAATATACAGTTAAATAATGTGTTTGAAACTGGGAGCCATTAGCATTCTAAATATTACAGCTACAGTTCAGTTCAATTTAAAGGTTGTAGTTAGCATTCCTGTTATAAATATATGGCTTTATAATAAGTAGAGATGGGAATTGGTAAGATTTTATTGATGCCATATTCCATTCTGCTTATCGGTCCGATTCCCTCTTTGATTCCTGATCAATTTTTTTGAGTTTCCAGCAGCGTAGACGCACAAGTTTGACGCCCTCAACTGTGAGAAAAGGAATTGATCAGCTCCGCCATGTTTCTACAGTGGCCCAGAACAGACAAACCAACCACTGGCTCTAGATTGGGCCTTTTGGAGAGTTTTGCAGCCACTGTAGTTTCTCCTTCACGCTTGGAAGGCTGAGCTGTATTCACATGGTTGAAACTTCTCCACTAGATGCCATTAAATCCCACACACTGCTCCTTTACGTCCACTATTAATCTGCTGTTTATTTTCTCTATTAAGCTGGAAATTGTTCAGGTTTTAAAAGTGTCAGAAAGTCTTCAAATGTCTCGTTTTGTCCGATCAAAACCCCAAAATATTCAACTGACCAAACAAGATCCATTTAGTTTGCTTATTTTTCACATTAACATATTTCCTGAGCAATGTAACAGAACAATCAACATCACATGCAGTTAAATATTGATTAAAAGCTCCAGAACATCCAATAAATAGACCTTTGAAACACACACAGGGGCGTGTCCAGAGGTAGGGGCTGGAATCTGATTGGCCACCCCATTATCTTTTCCTCCTCCACTCTTCTTTCGTCTTTCAGAGGCTGTAGCGGATATTAAAGATAGAAACTAAACTCCCTAACGCATCCATTGGTACCAATAAAGAATAACTGCTCCAAAGTTAGGCTACATTTTGGTGATGGATAAACTGGTATAGCCGTTTTCAATAGGATCCCTTGACCTCTGACCTCGATATCTGAATGAAAATGGGTTGTGTGGGTCCCCACGAGTCCCCCCTTTGCAGACACTTTATGCTGATCCAGAAACCAGGGTGTTATTTTAGTGTATTTGAATATTTCTGCTTACTGGGCTCCATAAACAGAGTTGGAATTACATAAATTGGGAATAACTGGAACACTCAGACACCCCCAGTCTGAAAATGTCTGCCCCTGCTTCCACACTGAGACCAAGTAAGGCGCGTTCGGTGGAACATGTGATGATTTTAATAAGAAAACATCAGCCCCGGTTCTTCGCAGTGTTGGTAATGACGGTTGTTATCTGGTCCACAGTCGAGGAAGGCGAACGAGACGGACAAGGACAAGAAAGGCCTGGAGGCTCGAGCCGACAGCATCGGCAGCGGGCGAGCCATCCCCATCAAACAGGTGAGACTTCCTGTCTGTTCCCCCTCTCTCTCTCTCCCTCTCTGTGTTTGATGCCTCGGCCTTGATTAACAGTGAAATCATACACTTAACATCAATTAGAGTGAGGGGCTCTCCCGGGTCCTCCAACCAGATCATTAGGAGAAGGAGAGGGATTTCACTGTCACTCCCTCCGCTGCTCTTTTCTCTTCCTCTTTTCTGTCTCTCCCTCTGTTCGTCCACTTCATGTCCCCTCGTTTCCCTTTCAAAGCAACTTCTTTTCCTCTTGTTTTGTCTTCCTGAGCGCCTTTTATCAGAGCGCTGGCAGCAGCGTTTTAAAGGAGTAAAAGAAGAAGAAGGGAAAGCAGAGGATGAAGGGGAGGGCGAACATCTCTGCACACGCGCGCCTGCTGCGATGGCGAGGAGAGCACCTGAATTAATTTGAGCTCCTTTCGCGTTGGAGCAGCAGTGGGTGAGACGGGTGGGGGGGTAAGAGGGGTGGCAGAAGAGTAGCGTGTGAGGTAGCGGTGGCGGGGTCCGCCGACAAGCAATTAGAGAGCACTAATCGCGGCCTCTCGTGTCGCCGCCACGGCCTCGTTTGTAATCTCCTAATGAACAAATCGCATCTCTGATTAGGGGCCGCCTCGCCAGGAGAGAGCAGGCGAGAGACATGGAGACAGACTGTGGGCGAAGGACATGGAGACAGACTGTGAGAGAGGGAGAGAGGGGGGAGGCATGTGTTGCTGCTGTTTGTGTTTGGGGGGCCGTCGTTTAAGGACGGACCCCGCCGTGCTGTCGCAGCAGAGCCCGCAGTAATTGCAGCCGTCCGCATCGTGTGATGATTCCTCTCCAGCTCCCAGCGGCTTCAAACACACCGCTTTCTTCTTCTTCTGTGGTGTTAATGCAGCGGTGGAGCCCAGCAGGCATGGGCAAGCTTTTTGGTCCCGTTAATTTGTTCTGAGTGCAGGCTGGAGTGCAGAAACACTCGTCACTAGGTGGTTCTTAAACATACTTATTGGAAACATGTCGGATTTCATTTTTAAGGATAAAAGAGGAGTCGAACTTTTTACGGACGTCGCTGTGAACTGAAAAACCTCTTTTACATGAAAAATAATTATTTTTTACTTACGGACATTTTGTATTGTATTTAATTTGATTTATATAACCCAAAATCACCATTTGCCTGAGGGGGCAATGACCATCAATTTGGGCGAGGAAACCCCCCAAAAAACCTTTTAACAGGAAAACATTTTTTATAATTCATGTTGGTCAAGATTTAGCTTCAGAGCTTATTAAACATAAGTCCTTCTGACTTGAAAAGATGAGTTCACTTAACTCATTAAATTAGGTTTCCAAATAAACATGATCAGCACATCGGCATTACTTCCCAGCATGCCCTGCTTTAGGATTAAACCTTTGTTGTAGTAGTAGTAGTAGTTTGAAGAATGTCTGTAATACATGTCAAGATCAGTCATGGCTGTTTTTTATTTTCGTAATAATGTGATGAAGGTTAGTATTGAATTCAGCAGCCTTGTGTGTTATCTTTGTAATAGCTCCGGTAAATTAGACACTTAAACGAGTTCAACTCACAGCTAATATGATGTTCAAGTTGAATGAAACTGCATTTGATCGTTGAGAGTTTTAGTTTATTTATCTTAAGAAATAGGAGCATCTCATCAGCATATAAGTTTACTTTAAAAATTCAAACTCATCTTCAGTTTCTGTACGAGATATAAAACCACATTTATTAAACTACTCATGAAGTTTGAGCCTGAAATGATTAAATCCACATTAACAGACGACTATTGAACAGGAAGTTGGTTATCATGCAGTATTCATTATCCAAAACCTGCTCACCAGAAGCTTATTTATTAAGTCAACTGATGAAATCCATTCTAATAAAGCCGGACACATACTTAGCCCGCCATGGCACGACATGGCTGACACAATAAACCCTCCAGAGCAGAATAAAGCAGAAGAGGCAGCGCTGTGAGGCAGAGCACCGAGCTTCCTCCTGTTGTATTTTTTTGGAAGTGGATGTTAATTGATTTGATGGTTCCCTGTGGTCGCTCTCGCCTCGTCTCCCTGCCTGCTCCTCAGTGTCGACGGCGGGCTCAACACACCGCAGACCTGCTCCCTAATTAGACTCTGAGTGTGTGCAAGTGTGTAGAGAAGAGATTGCACTTCACATTCAAGGTTCAACTACCTTTTCCCCATTAACGCTCCATTTGCACTCCATTTTACTTTCTGCATGTCCTCCCATTAGCACCGTGTTCACACTTGTTTTTAATGAGACGGTGGTCTGACTCTCCATCGCTTTTCTGTTTCCCTAATATGAACTCAACACATATTTTTAACATAGAATAACACACCAACCACAGGCTTAATCAGTCATTTCTGACTTCTCTTTGTCCACTCATTTTACGTGGCTTCTTTGGCTTCATTGTGAAAGAAATTAGCCAAGTAACATATAGGTTTCTTGTGTAATGAATCAAATGGTACAGTAGTACAGCAGCATACACTATATATTTATAATCCAATATACATCTTATGGTGGGTTTTATAATGTTTATTGGTTTGGAAAGGAGAAACAAGCACTGTCTCGATATAAGAATCCATCCAACCAAATTCCTAATAGATCTTCATTTAGAGCATGTAAAGGTTTGGACACTGCAGCCATTTAGCTTTAAGTTAAAGTTGGCGTACAAGATGGTGTCATCAGCATAAAAACGACCAAGACAGAGCTGAGTTAGAAAATAAATAGTTCACAGAATCAGTTAGCAGAATTATCAGTTGTAGTCCTGTAATAAGCCTGGTTCATCAGCTGCCGCCATCTTAACCAACACCAGTAATTAAATGAAAATTAATTAGTTAAAATGTGCTCAGATTTGAAATGGTTTGGATGTGTGTTGGAGAAAGTCTTAAATCATGAAATGTAAATTGATGATTGGTTTAGTCAGGAGTCTGCGTCATTAACTGACCGCTGATTACCGCCGTACCTTGGAGGAAGGAGGAGGCCGGGCTGGTGACCTAACGGAGTCCGACATCTGCCAGAGAGATTAGCAGCATCACATTCCTCGCCACAACACACACACACACACACCGCCGTACAGTCAGGTTCCTCTCAAGGTTCACATTGTGATTTTAATATACAGCTGTGAGCTTCCAGGTGCTTTCAAAACTTCAATATGAGAATATGAGTTTGAATAATACAACGTCTGACTGAATTATGAAGTTAAACCAAATTCAGTCTAATTATCCTGCTTTGTTTTGAAGTCCAGTGACTATTTCTGGTTTTAAATTTGCCTTTAATTTTCATTTGCGAGGGCGGACGGTGATGTCTTCTTTACCCAACTACCACTTCGTCTTCCTCTACAGCTCATTCTTATCTTGTACCTGTGTGAGTGTGTGTTTGAGTGCTTAAACCACTTGTTCGCCCTGATCTCATTAGAGCGACTCTCGACCACTCAAGGTGACGGCAGTTCAGTTCGCCTTTTGTGAAAGGAGAACGCCTTCGTTAAGAGAGTCCAGCGCTCATTAAAAACCCCCACACACACACACACACACACACACACTGAGACCAGGACATGGTGGACTCTGCTGGCTGTAATGAGAACGGGGCGGACTTCCACTCTGAGGCAATTAACCGGTACAAATCCACACAAACACACACATTGTGTACAGAAAAGCATTCACACACACAAACATTTATATTTCCACTCACATTAAAACAGGCCCAGAGTGTGTGTGTGTGTGTTGTGTGTGTGTGTGTGTGTGTGTGTGTGTTGTGTGTGTGTGTGTGTGTGTGGGCGGGATGAAGGTCAGATGTGTCATGTAGCCCAACGAGCACTCAGAAACAGTTTCTCATTCAGTTTGTCTGCAGGTGAATCTGAAAAATATCTCTTATTTACTTTCACATCAGACACAAGAAAGTAAATTCAGGAGGAGAAGCCACAACGATGAAGTGTTAGCGTTTTGGTTTAAAAATCAATTGAATGTTTTAAGTTCGATAAACACATTAAAGCGTTAACAGTGCTGTATGATGTGGTTAAAGAAGTCTTATTGACATTATTGTGACAGATTATTTGTACATGATTAAACTTCTTGTTCAAAGTTAAACATACAGTAAGTTCTGTTGCTCGGGATCAAAACAATAAGAAAAGATTTAGTTCGGTGAGGTTGTGAAGTAGCTAATTAAATCTATCTTACAGGATGTTTTATTCAACATGTTTGTTGACTTTCTTCATCACTCTCGGACAAAGTTATCACCTAGAGTCATGTTTCCTCGATGAAACTGAAATGAAACTGCAGATTGTTCGAAAACTCAAGAATGGTGCATTCAAGTTCAGTCTTATAGACTGTAAAAATGACTTTCCGCCACAGACAAATTCTTACAGTGGGAACAACTGCAGCAGTTAAATTTAGTAAAATATAATTTTAAAGACCCAAGAATGAACATGTTTCTTATAATTAACTCTCTGAGGGACAACATTTATCTCTGCGACCTGCTCGAGGATCTAAAAAAGGAAACACATGTGGAGTCAAAGCTGAAACCTCCTGCTAAGACGCTCCGCTGCCACATGAAACCACAGAGGAAACACTGGCTGCACCGGCAGCTGATGGCTCCTTTTTTTCTTCTTCTTCTTTCTTGAAGTGAGCGGATGCGTCCAGCTTTGTTTACAGAGGCTGTTGACGGCGCAGGGCTCCTCCGACATCTGCTCCACGCCGCTAATTAGCCGCTAATTACCGGAGAGAGAGGGAGAGGCTCGCTCATGTCTCTGTCAAGCGGCTGACCGAGGCGCTTTGAAAACCAACAATCTAACAAATTAATTTCCTCCGACACAGCAGCCGAGCCGCTGGGACCGCAGACACACCAGAGAGGTGTTTTTTTTAAATTATTTCTTCCAAACCTTTATTTACTCAGTGAAGGTTGACTGAGCGCTGTGGTGTTTTTACACACTTTGACCGAGTCCCACCTGGAAGCTGCCCAGTACAAACAACCTTTTACTGGTGAGCAGCTCCAC